CCCCTGGGATGGGGTGTCCCCCGCGGGGGAGGTGCCCCCCGTGGGGTGGGTGGGGACGGTGTTCGCTCCGTGCCCATCTATAGACAAAACATTTCCCCCCCCCGGGGGAGAAGGAAAGGGGCGCGGTCTCCCCCCGTTTCCCCGCCCCCCCTCATGAATAATCCCCGCCCTCGTTACCGGCGGTGACGCCGCGCGCGGTGACGCCCGAAGAGCGCAGGAGAGAACGGGAGCGGCCGGCGCCATGGTGGGCACCGGGAACGCACCGGGAATGCACCGGGAGCGGCTCCGGGAGCGGCTCCGGGAGCGGCTCCGGCACCGGCGGCCGCGGCGGGGGATGCGCGGGCGGGGCGGGGTTGGAGGGGGGAGGGGGGGTGGGGGGGGGGGGGGGGCGGGGGTCGCACCGGGGGTCGGTCGGGCGGGGGATGCGGCGCGGGGGGCACCGAGGGGGCACCGGGCGGGCTCGGCGGGCACCGGGCGCTCCATCCATCCCCCCCGGGGGATGCCGGTGCCCGCTGACCGCCGCGCTCTCCCCCGCAGTGCGACTTCTCGGAGGAGCAGACCGCGGGTGAGTGACCGGCACCGGGCACCGGGAGCGGCACCGGGAGCGGGGCTGGACCCGCCCCAGCTCGGGGTGCCAGGAACGGACCCCCCCCAACCCCGGACCGGCCCCGGCGCTTCCTGCGCGGCCGCGGGCGGGGCCTTTTCCCGGGCAAAGTCCGTCCCGGGCGGGGCCGCTCGTTCCGGGGGAACGGGGGGATGCGGGGCCGGGGATGCGGGGCCGGGGCTGCGGGACCGGCACCGGGACCGGCACCGGCACCGGGACCGGAGGGTGTCCGGGCCCCTCCTGCGCAATTTGCCCTTATATGGGCACAGCGCGCCTCGGCCGCGCATTCCTGCGGGGCGGGGCCGCGGATTCCTGAGCGCTCCCGGTTCTCCGGGATCCGCCGGGGCTCCCGCTCAGCCCGGGCAGCATCCCCGAGGGCGGCGGCCCCACCCGCATCCCGGCCGGCGTCGGGTTCCACCGGGAAACCGGATCCCACCGGGAAACCGGATCCCACCGGGGAATGGAACCCGACCCGGGGCCGGAGAGGGGGGGGCCGGTAGTGGGGTCGGCGAGGTGCGGGGTCCCGGGGAAGCGGCCGTGGGGTCCCTGAGGTGTTGAGTTCCAGGGATACAGCGGGATGGGAGCGCTGTTGAGGGTCCCGGGGGCACCGACACGGGGGTCCCGCTGCGTTGGTTGGTGGTCCCGAAGGCACCGACACGGGGGCATCCCGGTGCTTTGGGGGTCCTGAAGGGGCAGAGTCGGGGGTCCTTTTGCCGCAGGGGTTCCCGTGGTGCTGATGCCGAGATTCTGGAGGTGCTGAGTTGGGGGGGTCCCTGTGCCCTGGGGGTTCCAGTGGCACTGGCATGGGGGGGGGGTGCCCAGTGTGTTGGAGATACCAGCAGTGCTTGTGTGGGAGTCCTGGCAGCGCTGACACGGGGGGTCCTGGCGTATTGGGGGTCCCGGGGGTCCCGGCCCCGCTGACACGGGGGTCCCGGCAGAGTTCAAGGAGGCCTTCCAGCTCTTCGACCGCACGGGCGATGGGAAGATCCTGTACAGCCAGTGCGGGGACGTGATGCGGGCGCTGGGCCAGAACCCCACCAACGCCGAGGTCATGAAGGTGCTGGGCAACCCCAAGAGCGATGGTGAGTGGGGGATCCCCCCATTCCCAGCCCCCCC